TGAACCCGCAAAAGCCCGGCGCCGCTCCCAGGCTTTTAGGCAAGGGCAGCGTCTTCACACGGCCCGACGGTCGGTTGCAGGGCTGCGGAGGGCCAGCGCCAGGAGGCACCATCCGAGCAGGCCGAGGAGTGGGAGCTTTCTCCTTTTTGTTTGTTTTGTTTGTGTTCTTTTCTGGGCGTCCTGCAGTGCTTTTGTCGCTGTTATGGTTGACATGCCCTACCGGCCTGCCTCCAGCCTACCCGTTTAGCTGCTATATTATCTTAGGGTGATGTGCAGAAACGCTTGTGCGAGGTTAGTCCTTCAGTTGCTCAGAAAGCACAGTGTTTCTTTATGTCTTGTTTATCGTTTTTTGGCAAATGTCACATGCGGTAAACACATCAGAGAGTTTCGAATGCATGCTTGTTTTCGTCAGCTTTACTGTCACTCCTGCGGTTTGTATGTTGCTTCTCAGCATTTTGAAAATCATTATGGCTATGACTAAGGTGATGGTTGTTGTTGCTGTTGTTGTTGCTGCTGCTATTTGTTAGGACATGTGCCCCATCATTCAAGACAACTCGCAGTAGCACCCGTAAGCCTTCATGGCCAAAGGCTGTCCTTCACATTTTTTGCTGTGGTACTTGCATGAGATTGTGCACCTCGTCCATACAGTGACTGGCCGCTTTCAGTTGCAGACTTGCCGGCAAGAGTTGAGAATCCGTTGAGCTCGTTGATTTGGCAAGTTCTTGAAATTTGCTTGAACGGCCAGTTTTGCGCAGGTGGCAAGAAGGGCGGAGACTTCGCTCCTTCGAAAGGTCCAGGGTGTGCGGGAGTGAGAAAGGGAGACAGAGCCAGAGCAGTTTGGGCCGAACGTTGATGCCAGCACTGTGGGTCGTGATGAGGGAAAAGGGGAAACGGACGGGGGTAGGGGTAGCAGTGAGGCAAACTGTCGGGAAGGAGGAAGAACTGCGGAGTGAGAAGAAACACAAATGAGCCAGAGCGCCCGTGAGTGGCACCAGACTTACGACACTGGGAGAGTTCGCTGCATGCAAAGTGCCCGCAAGGCATTGTAAACTAGGACAACAGAGATGAGCGGACGACAGCGGCCCCCAAGGTTCGCACGAGGTCGGTCGCATCAGCACAAGAGTCGGGCGGGAGCACGGCACATGCCGGAGCCAAAGGGTCATGATCCACAGCAAGAAGAGACATTGAGGGTGTGAGTTGCTGAATTTGGCAGAGCAAACGGATACTGAAAATTACTCGTACTGTCTTCAGCCCAACCCACTTCATGCTCGCTTCCCTCCAATGCTTGATTAAGCAGCCCGAGAGCGTGCCCAAGCCGCTTTCTAACGGAAGGAACGGAAGGAACTCCATCTGTCATCCACAGAGATTTGTGGACGGAATTCCAGCTGTCATCCACAGAGATTTTTGGGCTATACTCTTGGCATCCTTGTTCAACGACAGTCGGACATACCTTCGAGTGGGAGAGTCGCCAGAGAGAACTGCCAAACCCTAGCAGATCCCGGAAGCTTTCTGCCCTGAGCCCTACATCGGAACTGACAGGCGCCACAACCCATGAGCCTCAAGGTCCCCCACCCCCCCCCCCCGAAAACAGCACTCTCCGTCGAAGGAAAAAGCCCAAGAGAAGAGCCCTTCCGCAGTGTCGTGGCAGGCCTTCCGCGAGGAGTCGGCTCCGAGCCTCTGCGGGAAGCTCCGGCCGGAGGGCCCGGGCCCCAAGGGAAACATCCGACTGAGAGAAAGACAGAGGTTTGATGCCTTTTTCTCTATTTTGCACGGGTTCTTCTTTGCACCGTGGCACATAGCTCTGATTCTAGCTTCCATGGCGGCTCTGATTGCAATGGTCAGTTTTCACAGCGTGGAATATGATATATATATATATAGATAGATATATGATATATGTATATGTATATGTATATGTATATGTATATATATCTATATCTATATCTATATCTATATCTATATCTATATCTATATCTATATCTATATCTATATATGTATATCTATATCTATATATGTATATCTATCTATCTATGTATATCTATCTATCTATGTATATCTATCTATCTATATAT